ATCTTTGGCCCACAAAGGCAGCACGCACAACTGTCTGATCATTTGTTAATTCCACATCAGATCGGGATACTTTATTTTATTTATTGCTGTTAAATCCAACCAATTTGCAACGAATGCCAAGAAAAGCCCAAATTGATGTGTTTTTGCTTCTGGAAATTGGCTAATGTCACATTTTAGGTATACCCAGAATGACGACACCCCGTTAAACTGAACTACCTCTGTATTTCTTAATGTAATATTTAGTGTGTAGGACCCCTGAAGCCTCTTCTCTCTCCTCCTGAATCGCTCAGTTTTTAGCCCTCGTCTCTTTAAAGCCTCTCCTGAAGGAGTCGGGCTTTTTCTGTCTAAAAGTAAAGCAGCGTCTGCTGTTCTTTGACCAAAAACCCTTTTTCTGGACTGGAGGAGTGCTGCTCACGTCTGACTCTGCAGAAAGTGTGTGTGTGTGTGTGTGTTGAACAGGAGCCGTGGATGTTGCATTATGGGGACGTGGGAGGGGGTGGGGGAGGTAAATTTGAGAGTTGACTTGTAACCGTTGACCTGTTGGTGACCCGGTTGGGCTTTGAAGCCTCCCCAGCTTTCACTTTCTGAAGTGATTCCTCTGTTTTATCTTTTTAAAACTTTTTCTGTGCAGATTCACGGCTGAACGCACGATTTGCTGCTCACCCGCTCAGTTTGGGCCTTTGTTTGTTTATTTATTTATGTTGTTTTAACAGGAAACAGCGTTCTGACTGGCGGTGTTTTGATGGTGACACGTGGCCCTTTATGACCTCTAATCGTGTGTCGCCAGATTTATTTCTGTGGACATTCATTTAAATCTCTTTTTAAAAATTTTTTTCAAACACTTGTAGGATTTCAACCTCTAAGTTTAAGCAACTCCTGACCAAAGTCTGAACAAAGGTCTACAACTGGGTTGTTTCTCACAAATTTTAGCCGTAAAGGAAAGAGTACAAGAACAAAGTCCAACAGGCTTCAGGTGTCCTTAAACGTCTCACGGGATTAATTCCTGATCCACGTTCTTCCTCTGGAAGTGGGACAAAACTTGGAGAAACCTTTCTAACTCTAACTTTATTGGGTTTGGGCTTTATTGGGTCCTTCCATCTTAATCGGGGTGTGTGTGGGGGGGTTTAACCGGCCGAATGCCCTCATCCGGGACCAGAAACCACCCGTTTCCAGGCCCTGGCCTGGGCCTGGCCTGGGGCCTGGCCGTTGCCATGGCGCTGTGCGTAAACAGTTTCGCCCCGGCAGGCCGGAGGTTAGCGCCAGTTTCAGTTCTCTGTTGTTTGTTGTGCTGCTAAGGGTTTTTATCTGTCAGGGTGTCTCTGCTGGCTAAGGGCCAGCTCTTATCTCCGGAGCTTTAGATGCTGATAAGAGATACCGAACCCAAGCCGTTTCTTTTCTTGATGAAGAAAAAACAAACAGTCTTTTGTTCATTCGAGGACGT